TGAAAAGCAAGTGCAGGTAGGCGGTGAGCTCCTCTGGTGGCTGTGAAGCAGAGGGGCTGCACAGACATCTGGGAGCCATGGTTGTGGTCCTGCAGAACTGCTTTACTTTGATCCTTTGCCTAAGCTTTGTTTCGAAGAATAGAAATGGCACTCTGTCTGGCCTAGGAGAAAGATCTCGTTACTTTTCACTTGATTTTTCACTTGACTATTTCAGATACTTTTTTAGAAGAAGTCTGATCTTTGGCTTTTGTATTGTGGATTAAACCTTTAAGAGCAGCCACAGCACCCCTGAGGTGAAACCATATCCATGTGTTAAGAAAAGTGAGATGAACTGCTTATCTGGCAGGAGTTTCAGATGTCTCTGTTAAGTCTAGGCTTCGAGTTTGAAGGTGTTGGAGGATATACTCCTGCATAGTACTTGTTGAAAGAGGAGGTTAGGATGTAACCAGAGTACTGGGAAGACTAGTGGCGTCAGATAGCTTCCATGAAGCTAACATGAAATGCACAGACTTTTCACTTTACTCCTATATTTTTTGATTTTTCTAGATAAAAGTGAATTTCCTATTGCTGTCACTTGTCAGTAAATAGTATCCTTGCATGTTTGTACTAAAGTATTTGTACATCACTTATGGTCTGTATGTTATTAAAACCTGAAAATTATTCATCAGCCCATAATCACATGGCTGACTTCTGCATCTGGAAAAATCATAGCCTAGGTTGCAGGCAGATGATCCATTGCAGCTCATTCCAGGTGTAACTGTATCATTGATGTTCCCAGTAGCATCTCGTACAACACAGGAGGCTGTGGAAAGAAGAATATACTATTACTTTCCTTTCTTGTGACAACAGAATAATGTTCTTGCCATGCTGTGATTATTGGTCTACATACATTTTGTTCAATCTCTACTTTAGCATCATCTCAAAAAGTAATGTTTTGCGTTAGGCCCAATTTACTTCCCTGTATTATAGATTTTCATGTTATTTGTAGGCAGCTATTTTCTTCTGTTACTTTTAAAATAATAATCCAGTTGACTAAAGAAGGCACGCATTTATCTAAGAACAGAGAACCAGATGCTCTGGAGATCAACAATATATTAACTAAGAAGTATATTGTCAGTCTGAGGCCACTTTTCCAGGAGTCAGTATGCAAAGATACCATTGCAGTGAGGATCTTAGGTCTAGGCATATTTCTTCTGGTTTATCAAGGGCACACAATTGCTTTGGAGCCCCAGATCCTTAGCTATTTAAATTGTCACAGCCCTACAGATACTAATACAGCAAGAAAAACTTCTAACAGGAGTATATTGTCTATGTTCTCTGAGTTTAATAAGGGCATATTCATGCTGTCTTTTTTTGTTTGCTACCAGAAATGGAAAAAAAAAAAAAAAACAATCTGATAACTACATCTGTAGCAGACAAAATGTGAGTTTACGTGACATTTTCAAATATGTCCAATGTTGAGAATCCCAAAGTAAACATTATCTCCTTAGAAAATAGGTAAGGAAATAGGAAAAAGTATTGCACTGAAAGGTAGATAGCTCTGATGCTATTGCTTACGAAAGCAGAACAATGTAGTAATGCAGATTTATAATAGAAAGTGAAGAATGACTGTTTCAACTGTAGTTGCAGGTGAAATTTAGGTCTAAATGTAACATCTGAGCAGAAACTTGACTTGGGTATTCTGCCTTTTTGCATAAAGTACAAAAAAGGGAGTCCCTGCAGGGCTTTCATACAGTGCTGAGGCAATTGCTCACAAGGAAGAGCATCATTTACAACACTCTTTATTACATTACTGTTTAAGTAGAAGAAAAGTTTTTATTTCTTGAACAGAGATTTACTGTGTTTTTGTAATGAGAATGTAATTGTATACTCTTCCAACACCAACTCATGGCTGCAGTACAGGCCCCATTTTTATACCTGTGTGCTTTTTTGTTACCTCACACTGTAGAGCAGTTAATGACATAGCACATCTTCATGAAGAGATACAGTTGGTTTTGATGTTGACACACAACAGATAAAACAAGCATGTTGCCACATCACTTGTGAGTGCTCATTAAGACTAAGGAGAACAAGTAGAAGCCATGTGAAACCTCAATATGAAGGAAAAATGAAGATGAGCAAATTGATCTGAGGTTCCTTGAATCCTTACTGCACTCATGGATGCTACCAGATAGTTGTCTTTGACACTGAATCAAATGTAAAAGCAATCAAATTACATGAAAATCCATCTTCTATGTGAATTCAAACAGGACAAATGCCACCCAGCTTCTGAAACAGAGATTTTTGTTTCTGCTAATTATTTCTTTTTATTCACTGTTTTTACATGCAATAAAATCAAAGCAACTACCTCTACATAATAAATACACAGGATTGAAAACTGTTGAGGTTAATCACTCCTTTGTATACCAGGCTTTCAAATTTATAAATTAAGACATGAAAGAGAGGTTCTTCGCTTACCTGCACATACTGCAACGCCTATGTAAGCAACTGTTGTTATCAGAATGGCCAGCATTGTTCCTTTGGGTATTGCACCCTGCGGATCCTTAAAATAAAACAGTGATCCAAAAAACACTGAGTTCACATGCTGCACTCTGTATACTAGTGAGTCCTATCACACTGTGATATGGAGAAGGTAGATTTTTATCACTTAGAACTGTGCCCATATCTCCTGTCCCTGTGCATGCATAGCCATGAAACGGTTGTTGGTGCTCCTACCCTCAGCATAGTGTAGGATATTCTGCAGGAATGGGGCTAACTCTGCATTTCTGAGTGCTCTGGACTCCCCCTACATTGCAGTGGGCTTTATTTTAATGTCTTAATGGTGAAATGGAACATAGTTGCTGAACTAATCAAGTTGCTTGATTCAGTGAGTCCAGATGATGTTAATTTCCAGGCCATGAGACTATTCCATTCAACATGATGCCTTTTTCTCTGGCAGCAGGACATAGTTGTACAGGCAGCCACTTTAGGATGTGATTACAGCTCATGTTCCTATAAAAGCTTGGCACTAAACCTTCTGCGCCTTCATAAAGATCAGGCTTTTGGTGTAAGCAATTGCTTAAGCAAGTATAATGCAGTTCTGCATTAATGCAGTTTATGAAGTTGCCTTGACACTTGTGTGCATGGGAAGACGAGACTGTTTTTGGTTCATCAGCATGATAGTTGCGTGTAAGTTACTCGGAGCAGAATACAGTACTTCTGTGATTAGCAGCTAGTAATTGTTAGTACTTATGCCTTGACAACAAACTGCTGCTTTTCGCTGTTCTGACTTTGAGTTTAGAAATTTAATAAGGTGGGAGTATAATGTTTATAAACTAGTTCACGAGAATTTTGACTTCATTCATGCTGTTGTGAATCCAATAATCTGCATTATAATTTAATGTGTGTTTGTTTATGCTAGAAAGCACTTGGTGAATTGTCTTCTTAAGGTTCTTCAGTGAGGTTTTTTTAGTTGCAGATGCCTGGAATACATTTCAAGCCATAAGTTGTTGTGCTTTTATAACAACTATGCTCATTGAATGAAAAAAATATATATAATTTGGTGAGTTGTGTGAAATGGGGATGAATGACTTAACTGCATTTAACAATTAACATAATTCTAATGAGGTAAGGATTTATTGAACTGAAAAAGAACTTCAAAGTCATTTCAACTCTGTAAGACCTTTAGCCCTTTAAATCGTGGTAGCTTTAATATGTACAGTTTTGGTGAGTGTGTCATGGGTCACTGTTTTTGCCAAGTCTTATGTTGCAGTCTTAAACACCTCAACCTTAAATCTTAGGGTTTGAGATTCTTACTGCTTTACAACTTTTAAATTAGATTAGCAATGAAACATATTTAATATGTTGCTAGCATTTTAATATCTGCTCCCAAGCCCTCTGCAGTCCCTAGGAAGACAGACTCTTTCTGTGAGTAGGCTTTGAACTAGCTCACCACTTGAATGTGTAGCGTCTGTAGAAGCCTCTCCATAGCTGTTTACAAGAAATCTGGTTTGACAATTTTACATTTAAAATAATTCTTAGCTTGTCCTTTAGATTTCTGGAGAGGGTGGTTAATTTAATTAGACCTGTCTAATGCATCTAAATATGCTCAGTCCTATCTACAGCCTGGAGGAGGTGGTCATAGACCTCTACCTACTGCCAGATTGGAACAACTGCAGGGAGCCAACAGGAAAGTTGGTTCCTTTGGTCTGTTCAAACTCTTTCAAACAGCTTATGAAAGAAATGCTGCTACTTTGGGAGTTTACTATAGATAGAGAGCACCATATACGGCAAAATAATTATTTTTGTTTGTTAAAAAGATGGAGACTGTGAAGCTGATTCAGTCTCAGTGGGCAGAAGTACAATGATTTGCTTTGTTTTCTTTTTAATTAAAAATGGAATCTCATAAACATCATTATTAGTGGCTCCAATTCCACCTATTTCTCTTTGTGCTTGGCTTCAAAAGCAGTCCTCTGGAAACTAAGGGAATGAGGCATGCAATCAGTATAAGGGAGGGAAACAAATCTGTCTGTCAGGGATGGTAGGATCCTGATGAACTTGTGACTGCTATGCCAATACAGATATAATAGATGTTTGATTGAATCCTTAAGGTATCAGGGACAATGGGTCTATATGATAAAGCCATCACTGGGTATGCTGGAGGAAGCTAGGTTTGAGTTGTGTCTTTTTGGTGACTTTTTAGTGTTTTGGTTTACTTGCTTGTTTTTTTGTGGATTTTTAAAAATTATTTTATTTTATTTTATTTTAAACACTAGATTCCAAAACTTGAGTCATGGATACCCACCCTGGTGTATTTCTAGTTTATTGTAATGCTACGAAGTATTGCATTGCTGTATATTTACTAGAGAAGTTTTACAAAATGCTTTGCTGAGCTTGAAAATGAAAAATTTGTTCATTTTTGTATTTGGCTGTAAACACTTTGCATTATACTCACTGTGCACAGTTATGAAAACTAGAGAGAACTCAAAGTTTTAATTAATATCTTGTCTCTGACTTACCAGTTTGTTTAGATACTGGAAGTACCATCTTATACAACTGCTTTATTGCAAGAGGAGAGTGAGAGCTTGACAGAACAGCCACAGCAAGACATTTAGGTGCCCCTGGACCTCCTTTCCCTTTCTCCTCAGACTCCTTTCTTCTGTCACAGCTGTAAGCCTGCATCTTTTCCTTTGAGCAGCCATAGTGACAAGGGACTGGGACATATTTGCTTTCAATAAATGCTCTGTTTATTCTGCTATGACCCTGAATAGAAAAAGCTGGTCTCCCCTGATTCTTGTGAGTACAAACACAAGCTTTACAGGTGTGTTTTTTGGGATGATGTTATAGATTTTGCAAAAATGCACCAGGAGATGCACACAATTTCTCTGTGTAATGTTCTGCAAATGGCCCATTAATTCTACATTTCTGCAGCTTATGGAAATATGCTTTTAAATTATATAGAAACCCAAGTCGGAATGCAATAATTTGTGTAAATACTCATAATGCATTAGAAAAGAAAATGTGAACTGGTATTTTAAATAACATAGCAGATATTTAAAAGAGAGTTTTGCTTCCCAAAATCAGGCATGATTTAAAACTGAATACAGTGCTGATTCATAATTAGTTTTCTTGTTCTGTTTTCAGCCCACAGCTAGTATTATGAAATTAATGAAATACATACTTTCAGATCTCCTGAGATGTTGGCTCCCGCGAGAATGCCAGTGGCAGCTGGGAAAAAGATGGCAAACACTGAGAAAAATCCTTCTCCACTTCTGAAATCTGGTCCAAAGTTTTCTGCAAATATTGATGCTGCAAATACAGGTGAAAATGAAAGAAGCTGATGGGATTTGATTCCAAAGTTACTTAATGAAGGGGGTGAATAATCTAGTCTTTCACGTCTGCACATTTGGGTTTGAATCTGTCTCATATCATGGCAAAACGAATTTGATTTCCTCAGTCTGATCCCCAGTAGGATGTGCTTGTCTGCGTCTCAGAGCTGCAGCTCCACATTGAAGTGACAGCAGTGTCACTACAGCACTTGCACTTAGCTCTGTGTAAAGGTTTGTGCTCTGCTGATATATATGTGACTCAAACTGCAGCTAACTTTGCTGTCAGCTTCAGCAGCAGAGAGACAGACTCAAAATTGAAGGTGAAATAAATTCCCTTGGTTTGCAAGCCTATTTAAACTTGGGCTAAAGATCCTGATCTTGTGACCTTTTTCAGTAGAATCCTCAACTCAGTATGCAGCCACAAAGAATGAAGTTACTGTTCTATGATAGACAAGCAGTACTTGCCTTGGTAATTAAAAAAGCCTTTTGCCTTCTTTTCGTTGTTGGTAGGAATAACTGTCCCAATAAAGAAGTTTGCAATGGCAATAAGGAGAACAATTAGAAGAATAACTTGGGCCTGTTAATAGAAACAAAGATTTCCCCAATGATTTTAATTTACATTGACAATGGAGATGGCTAAATATAAGTGATTAAGTGCTGTTTGTGTTCTCTATGACAGATTACAAATTTTTATAGACCTAGAAAACCCCAGGAATCGAGACAGCTGAAGAAAACAAACTGCTATCAGCTAATTACAACAGCATATAGTTTTTACTAACAGTGTTTATAAAGTAGTTGTAATTTAATTAACATTTTTTCTTTAAAGGAAAAAGGAAAATGAAAAAGTTAATGCATAAATATCATGTATGAGACGTTTTTATATTGTTATATAAATTGTTTAGTTGCAGTGAGTGGTCACTTGAAGTGTTATAATATGTAATTCGTTTTCTGATCTCTTTTACAAGCAGTTCTAAGCTTTTGTCACAGCAAAATATGAAAAGAGGAGTCCTATTCTAGAACTGATTCCTACATTCTGAGGTATTTCCATTTGTATTTCCATTTTTAATTTTTTTTAATTTAAGGTAAAGGAATAGCAGAAATCATCAGAGATTATGGAATGGACAGAAAATGGAGCTTTCCTGCTAGGCAGAGCTTCAGAGGGTACAATGACAAAAAAATATTGCTTTTAACTGCTACTTATTCTGTCAAGCTGCTTCAAAAATAAGGACAAAAGGGATGCTTACTCAAGGCTTTAAATGATGCCCATGGATTATGAAAATCAATATAAACATGCAGTCTATGGAACATAACTTTCCTTTTTCCCTCTTAAATGAATGTTCAAGGAAGAGCATAGAGTAGTAGTGTTTTCATTGACTGTAATGATTAAACTGCTTTGCTTTTAGAAAGGTTAGGTGTCCCACCTGTTGTACAGCATTCCTCACGTGTTAACCCTGCACAGTATTCTAATATATTCTTTGCTTGTATTTTGTTTTAAAGCTTTACCTTTGCTTCCCATTCCATGCCAGCAACAGAGATGCCAAGAAGACATACAACAGTTATGGTACCTATTATTCTGATATCATTGGACTCATCTACCATTATTGAATCACTCTCCTGAAAAGAGTAAGAAATACAGTTAAAACCAGCCTTTCTCAATCAAACTGGTGGGGTTAGGTAACAAGGTGAAATAAAAGGAAATGACTTGTCATAGTTTAATTAGTTTCAACACTTTGTGAGACAAAGTATTCATATTTCATGCTCCAGCCTGCACTTAGCTGGGGTTATTTGGGTATCTAGTTGGATGGATATCTATTTCCTTTCCTGATTTTTGAGGCTCTTGTTGTGAAATCATTAGCATATTCATAAGACAGAAATAATGGAGAAGCACTCTGTCACAGACAGACCAGCATCTTTCTTGTTAAAGACATCGCTTAAAGTACAGCTAAAAAGTATCACAATTTAAACAAATAATAAAAAAAAAAAAGCCCAGCTTAACAATATACATGAAACATCATATTTACCTTAAGAAGCTCTACGACTGTTTCAGCAAATCCAACTACATACATAGCAACTGCCACAGCGTTTGCAAAAGCAAAGATAAGTCCTATAGATCCACCAAACTCTGGACCTAGACTTCTTGAGATAAGATAATATGCGCCACCTGCAGGCAGAAATTGTGCTCAGTGTTTGCTTAATTTTCTCACATAATACCACAGGAATCTCTACTTTAAACCTAACAAACATAATAAAGATTAGTAGAGGACACTGAAAAACAAGATATGTGCTTTGTACCAGCTCCGCCTTCAGACTATTCTAAATGCCCTTCCACTGCAGTAATCCTTCAGGACATGGTAGTTTGCAAAACTAGATCTTCAAACAATTTTTCATGATACATATTATACATAGGTTGCTCTGAAAGTAATGCCTCTTATTTATTTCCATTTATTTATTTCCATGGAGACTACAACAAATACAAAGAGTGCAATAACACTGTTTGATATAGCAAATTCTCAGCTACAGAACACTATTTTTGGATGTAGTCATCACCATTAGGTGTGCATTTTCACCAGTGATGAACAAGAGTGCATGCTCTTGTTCATCAATAAAAATTGCACCAGTGCAGGTGACCCACTGTTTCACAGGTGCTATGATGACATCACTGCTGAAATCTACAGCCCACCACTTCACTGTGCTCACTTCCAGTGTTTAGGCTCAATAAATGTTCATTAAGCACTGATGAATTTTAATGAGTGCAATTTTTTCCATGTGGAGGAATTAAATTCCACACCTTTCCTTCATATGCATTTCCATGTCAGGCACCGTTTTGTCAGACTGCCCCTCTGCTGCCATCTGTTGCACAGCACCAACATGTAATGGAATATTGGTCAGAAGGTTTATCCTCTACTGTCATACACCAACATCTGCCTCTGACACTGTGGGCCAATATATTAAAATACAATGCATTACTTTTAGAGCAGCCCTCTACAGAGTGGAGGAAACTTCACCTCAGGATAAGCTCTACCTTGTTAGATCCATCCCAATTTAGCGTGTATAATCTTATGCTGTGATACATTTTTAAAGCTCCCACAGCGGAATGCAATGAGTCATTAATCCTTTTTTGTGTGTCACCATAAATAGAACATATTACTTTGCCAGTTAATTATTTCATCCCCTCTCACTTAATATTTTTTTGCCAAGAAATATTTAAGATAAATGTTTTAAATTACTGTTGTTCCACTGAGAGAGATCATCCCAAATATATTTATTTATTCTTATTTTGCTTATAACATACTTATCTTAATTCTCACTTTTTTTCTAATTCAAATCTGTAGAATTCTGTATTTTTCATGAAATGATTTTCACTTACCTCCTCTTACTACTCCATTAGTGCAAATGGCAGACATGGAGATACCTGTTAAAGTTGTTACTACTACGCTCAGAGCAATAACTATGATTCCAAGACCTGAAAGATTCGAAAAAGAGAGTATATTCAAGTGTATTCAAATACCTGTTCTGCTTAAATGATGTAGTAAGAACTTGCTGTTTTCCACAGAGGTTAGCATGGACTGGTTATAACTTTAAGGCTCTGAAATGTACTGAAACATTTTTTGATAAAATATCTGATGTGTGCTTTACTTTTCCAGTGAAAATATTTGCTCATCTTCTAAGGAAGTGGCTGAAATGTAAGAGGTATTATAAAGAATTATACTGGAAGGAATTAAATTGAAGATATCCACCGATCTGCATTAGACAAAAATGAGAGGAAGAATGCCTCGTGCTTGTTTTGTCCAAGGATGTCCAACCTGAAAGGCTCTGAATAAGAAAGATCTGCTGAAAGGTAAGAATGAAAAAATTGCAAATCCAGATGCCACTCCTCACTCTGCATTTGGCAGGAACATCTGAAATGTACTTCAGAGACTGAACTGAAATGTGGAATTTATGAAAAGTGACAACTCAAACATGCAGTTAATTGTGATTAGAGTTGTCTAGAATTGTTACCTCCGGGTCCTGTAGATCCATCGTTTGGTTTATCATCCCTCTGGTTTGCATCATATGAAAAATAATACATAAAGATCTTTCGGAGCTTGAAAGCATTAGTAACCCTAAAGATTTTACCTCCACGGACAAACCCATTAGTTGCTATTGCAGAAGTTGACAACCCAGTAATTGAGGTTACCATCGTGGCGAGGAGAATTATGATTACTCCAAGACCTGTCAGTAATAAGAAGATAAAATAGTTTACTCATGTTCCATGATTCCTACAAATCATTCGCTCTGGAATTTTCAGGCCAGAATCAGAGCAATAAACGGAAAGTTGGTTTGTTGACCATTTGGAATTTGCAGAATGCTTCCAAGAAGCCCATATACCAGCAGTAAATTATTCCCATCAGTCTCTGAGCAGTGATGATTTCTGATAGGAGTACCCTAGCCGGGAGCCCCTTTATGATTTTATATTTTTCTTCAACAGTCAAGTGAAAAGAGCAAGCAAGTATTCCTTGGTTTGAATGCTTCTATGTACCTTTAGTATACATCCTGGCTCTTCAGGAGAAGAGATTAACCAGATTTCTTGTAAGAATGTTTCTGTCTTTCATCAGTTAGTTAAATATTAAATTGGAGACAGACTGACTGTATCGTTTCAGAATGAGCTGGGACAAGGAATCTATCAGGTAGGGAAACAAGACCTGAGTATGATCCTTCAACATCCTTATTTGCTAGGCTGTCAAGTGCTGTGCTAACCCACTCTCTTTCCATCTCCTTCTTTCCCTGCAAAAAGCAATTTTACTGTAACACAAGATCAAGATTCAAAAGTGGAAATGTTTCTTTCTAGATGTCATTCACTTTAACAAGTAGCCTGTAATGGATAATCTTCAATAATTTAGCATCCTTTTTTAGCTGACATCAGAAAATTATATAATTAAATGGAAACAGTTTAACATCTGAAGATCAATATTACTGACAAGTGAACTCAATTTCAGTAAGACTTTGAAATTTGAGTATGTTTCCAATCTTCAGCCATATAGTCAAATATATGTTAACTTTGTGAAACTGTGCTAGGTGTCTAGTTTGCTTTAGATTCCTAGAAACATCAGTTGGAAGTGACTTCTGAAGGTGTAGAGTTCAGCCTCTCAGCCAGAGCTTATCTATCACCAACACTGAATTAACTCAGTGATAGCTTTGGATCCCCAAAACCTCCATGCATAAAGATCCCCCAGCCTCTTTGGAGTTACGTGTTATAGTGCTAGACGACCCGCCCATGGAGAAAATTTGTCTTTATGTCCTGTTTAGACCTCCTGAACAACAATTATGGCCTCTGCTTTTGCTACACTTTTTGGAAATATGGAGAACAGTTTGGCTCTGTATTTGAAGAGTACTTTCTTCTTTCACGTCTGATGAAGAAATAAGATACTTTCTCTCAAATTTATTGCTTATATTCCCAATTGCAGCTACGAGAGAAGAAAAAAATTGAAACAATTATCATCTGGAGAAAAACTAGGAACTGAATCAGTTCTTAGTTTTATCTGAACTTACCAACACTTATGCAGTAGCTCTCTTGTTTCTGTAAAGTACGGAGGTCTTCAGTGTGGAACTGAAGATAATATATTGCCTACAGCAGTATTTATTGACCAGGGCTCCTCCAAATTGCAACTTTGATCCTTCAACTGGCTTTTAGCTAGAACTACAAATATACTGATTCATCTGCTGTATTTCTACTTCCTGATTTCTAGATCAGATTACTAACTTCTGTTCATATTGTATGGTTATATACATTCAGCCTGTGAATGAATGTTTTTTGCTGCTTAAATCACAGGCTTATTATCACAATCCTTTGAAAACAACGTAACACAGGGAGATAAATGTTTTATAGCACAACATAGAATATATAAAGTGATTTGAGCCTCTAATAAATCACTTTTACTCTATTGATTTCTGAACCATTTTATAACAAGTCATACACTTATTTTGTATGTAGTTCACATTAAAAAAAAAGTAATAATCCAAATGGGCATTTCTTTTGGTCAGCTACCACCACATGTTGCATAGAAGGATCTTGTTGAATTGTGTACATTTTGTGTGCAAAAAGCAGGTGAATATGACTATTAAATCCTAAATGGAACATCAGAGACATTATTCTTAAAGTTGTGCCAAAATTGTTTGTCAAGTACACATTCATCCTGAGGACTATTTTTCTGGAATTTTCTGTTAGATTTCACAGGTCATGTTTTAAATGTATATGTTAATTAGGGGCAGATATTTTGCTAATCTGATGAGTAATATCTGCTTGGGAAGATCTTAATATTGATTAAGAAAAAAAAAAAAAGATCTTTTACATTTGAGAAGAAAAATGCATAAAATAATTCAAGTGACACAACCAAAACATTATTGTAATACAATCTAGTGTAACACAATTGTAATATTTGGGACCACATTTTCATGAACTTGGTGTCTTGATGTCTTTGGTTAACCATTCTATGTACAGGTACAAATACAGACTGGAGACTACCCAGATGTTACATGAAAATACTGGACTGGTTGTGGACCTTGATTCTTATCAGAATCAGAATCCTACTTGACAATAAAACCAGGGCCCTGTTTTTTTCCTTCTTAGAGCTTTTTCCCCAAGACAGCCTATTAGGATATGGAAATAATGGGTTTTTCTCTCTTTGGCCCTGTTACTATGGGAATATAAATGGCGCCTAGATGGTAGGTTGACATTTAATTTTCATGTTAGTAGTACTATGTGAAATCCCCAGGTTATCATGATGATGAGCTTCTATCACTGTTCTCTTTAAGTCTTGGCTATAGATTTAAACTCATTGTTTATAAGACATTCAGAAAACATACTGAGAGGTTATCCAAATAGAATATGATGTTTCATTTTCAGAAGTAGAAGTAACATCCTTAAATAAGACATGCAATTTTAAAAAAGCAATAGCAGGGCAATAAACCATAGGAGAAGAGGGTCTGCTTATCAATGAATTAAAATGATAAAATTAAACATGAAGGCAGAAATCTGCTACTGATGCTGGTGCAAATTAATGCTAAAATCTGATTAAAGTTTAGATTGAAACCTAAGTATATGGCTGCTAAGTAAGTTGTTCTAAAATGAATTACTCTTGCCTATGGCTATTCTCACACCTCAAAACAAAGTAATACTTCTTGATGATCTCAATAAGTTACTAAACTGCCCTTAAAAACTAATTTTGCATGAAACCCCAGAGCAAAGTCTTGGCAATATTAAGATGCAGAGTTTTCATGGCAAGGCATATACTTATGAGTGCCCTGGGCTTCATGCTCTCATTTGGTATGCATCATAAAGTCAGCAAGCACCCCTTTGTCAGGCACAGTGCTGGAGCCATGCATGGAGCACTGCAAAAGTAGGTAAAGTTCTTCCGCTTAGTTCTGGAACTTTTATTGTGTTGGCTTTTTTTCCTACTTGTGCCTAGAGGTTTGTGGCTGGATTTTTTTTTTTTTCCTTTCCTTAATGAGTATTTCACTTGTATCTGTTTTTTAAAAGCTCAGTCTTCCTCAAACAAAACTTTTGTAAGGTTAATGTGTTTTGCTGGAAGTTGCACCTCAGTCAGGCAAAATTCTGGAGATGGTTCTGTTCAGTGTTTCATTTCAGCCAATAACAAATCAATCAGTGATGGTCACATTCTGTCTGAATTTGAGCACTGAGTTTTGTCCAAGATGTGGTGAGTTGAGGCCCAGAGGCCAGACTTTGGACTCCAGCTCATGTCTACTCAGTATTTCCATTCTGTGAGAATACAAACTGAAATACTTGCCATTAGCCCTTTGGGATTGGTGCTTTTTATGATGTCTAGATCTTAATCAAAAATTAGGGCCCTATTTTAATTTTAAGTATGTAACACAGTGACACTGCTGTCATGGTTCAGTTTGTGTTTCTTCACAACAGCAGCTATCAAAAAGAAGTTGTGCCACACAAGAGTTAATGATACCTTCCTGGGCTGCTTCTAGTTGCAGGAGGTTCTTGCTGTGTTTTGAGCCCTTTTGCATTGATTGCTCAACATATTGAATGGAGCCCCTGAGGCCCAGTCTCCCAGGGGTGCGATGTGGGAATTGGGTTAATTAAAATACAGTAAAGAAGCAAAGATACAGCAGGCTATGTGGTGTACTTTGTGAACAAAAGTGGTAACAAAGTTTTAATAAGTGTAGTATCTAGTGCTCTGCTATAGTTAAAAATAAAATCCTGATGAGATGAGACCTCCTTCCAGTTCTGTTTTCGTTTGCAGAGAAGTGTGAAGAAGTGTTGTTTTTAATATGCAGATGACAAGGCTTGGGATTCACAGATAAGCAAAGTGTGAACTCTTACAGGTTAATTCTGTACACACGTATTAGAAATTGGCTTGAGTCCCAAAGTTTACATCTGTTACAGGATCTAAATACAAATTTCACCAAAGCTCAGAAATATTCAAATGTGATGATCATATGCATAGTTAACAGATCTATGCCTCTAAGCAGTAATTTGGCTGGTAGTCTGGAAAATTCCAATAGTTTGGAGGATTAACATATTTTACCCTGGCAAGCATTTGAAAACATTATTTATTTCAACATGCAAATACACATCTCAGATTATATATTAATCACAGTCATGTATAGTTTATCCTCTTTATCCCTTTCACTGTTGAAAATGGTATTAAATAAGATACATACCAATTCCTGCTTGACCTACAATCCAGGAAAGTCGAATAAAAAGCATCACACCCCAGATATTGAGCATGCATCTTACCTAGGTTTTAAATAAATAATATTGCATTAGCGTAACACTGAAAGTAGTGTTAATCAGAAACATGATGGTATACAATGAAGGCTCTTGGAGACCACCCTCCAAACATCCTACCTCTCTTCTTAAAAGAGCTTGATATTGTAGGACTAATCTTACATTTTATTTTATTTTATGTTTTGAAAATACAGAAAAGTTTCTCACCAGCACACCCTTCACCCATCCAAACTTGACAAATCCTGTTTTCTTTTCTTCTTCCTTGCTGGCTGCTGCCTCATCTCCAGCAGTGCTTTCTCCATTAGCCACCCTCTCCACTGAGCCGGTGCTCACAGCTATGTTCTGAAGGATCACAGAGAAAACAAATGCATTTTTGTGTTAAAAAGATGTGGAATAAGTGAAATCCAAGGAAAATTAGGCTTTACTGTCTCATGAATAGAGTGCAGTACTCTGCTGACACCAGGCATCAACAGGTGGGCTTGCTAGCTGAGAAAAGATGATAGAATCGCTTAAGCAAAGTAAGTATCATTACCTGATACTAAATTGGTTCTATTATAAACTCTGTTCAACATATATTATGTTGTGTTGATATATTATTAGATCACCTAATGTAATGAGGGTCTCATGCCTGTCTTTCATATTCTGCTGCAACAATTTATGAATGTTAATAAGTATAGAAAGGGAGATATTGACTGACTGGTGAAAAGAGATCTACCTGCATGGCAAATAGGAGGTGAACTCTGGTATTTTCCATTGGTTAAAATACAAACATAATTCCAGCAGCAAATGTCCTTGAAACAGCAACATATTCTTGAAAACAATCAGAAATACTGGTGAAATGTGATTAATAATGTGGTAAATGAACAACCCTTTATGTGTTTTATTCAGCTCTAGTTTAACTGTCCTAGGTAGGATTAGAAATCAGCATATTTACCATGTAAATAGAATAAATAGCCCAGAATTTTGGATCTTTCACATTCAGTAACAGACTTAAGTCTGTACTTTATCTCATCAGTTCTGTTTAGCACCATGATATGTTTCTTGTGGCTTGAATAGGAATTAGTCACAGTGCTGAGGTTTATACTTTCTGTCATTGCTGTTTTCTTTCTTGTAAAAATGTTTATACAAAGTCCTGACTGGCTTTGCACTGAATCAGAATTAGATTAATTGTTGCTAAATGTTGTATGGGTCCTGTGTAAAGACCTTCAGAAAGGACTGTGTGCATTGTCACTGCCTGGCAGACGTTCAGGAGCATGCATCACTTCTGGAGAGGAATCAAGGTGCTTTTAGGGTTTGGAGAGGGATGAAGATGTTTCCAGATTAACTAAACAAGTCAAGGAGGGGAACCATCTGTGATTCCGGGAAACAGATGAGGTTTTTAGATCTTGCTTAAGCTTTAAGGTTCTTTCTGTATTTGTACACAGACTTAAAAAAATAAAATACGATACAGGCATAAAGACTAGTAGTATATGATATTTATGCTCATATTTGGATTCCTCATGGATGGGTCTCTAGCCACCACAATGGAAAATTTTAGAATGCCTTTGACACAATAAATTTAGGCTAGTGCTCACAAATGAGAAATAAGTGACTGGATAATGCATTTTGACATATACTCAATTTGGTGAATATGGCCTTTTTGACTCTAAGCGAAATGGGAGGAATACAAGATCTATTGAAAACCTGTGACTTTGAGCTCCTGAAATATTTATTTTCAACAATTCTCACCCTAAAATAACAATGCTGAGTTTGCTCTAAATACAGTCAATAATTAAAATGAATTATGGAGAATTATCAGAATAATGTTTGTTTGTTTTTTGGCTTGTTTACATACGTGGTGGTTAGAATTTCAAAGAAAAAAAAATAGAAGTGTTCAGCGTTTGCACTTGAAACAAGTTGTTTCATTCACACTTTGAATTAATTTGTGCTCTCGCATGCCGTTATCATAAATTATGGCCTTAAACCTTCCATAAATGCATTTTAAATTGGTGTGCTTTAGTCAATGATTGGTTTTTTACCAAGTAGATGTACCCATGCCCCTCATGCATTAAGTATATGGAATAAAAGTGGCAGGATAATTTGAAAATCTACCAAAATCATAAGTTAACTTTGTTGTTGTTGTTGGATTTTTTTTGTGGGTTTGTTTTTGTTTGATTTTTAAATAAAAAAGACAGAAAAAATCAAACACAACATTTTCCTTTCCATGTTTCAGAACAGGTTAGCCTTCATCTCTCCTCAGGATAAAGATGATGAGCTCATCAAGTCATCATAACAAGTGTGGAAAATAACCAAGATAAAGAAAGGTTAGATAATTTCTTATGTAGGATAAATATTAAGCCCAAGTAATTATCACCAGTCATCAGCTGTGAAATAGCACTTGGACTATTTTTTTAGGGATTTAATTGGTGTTTAGTGGCTTAATATGTGCAAAAACTGACACATCTTGCTAAAAGAGGACACACATTTGATTCCAGCAGTGTGGGAACTAGATATTTGAAGTTCCTTTCAGCCTGCCTTAGATTCTGACATTTGAAAAATTACATATTAAAATGTATTAAATATTAATATTTATCTTCTGAAGTTAAGCCAGCATCAAAGCACAATGGGAATGGTTATGTGATGTTTAGAAATCTGAAGTCAAACATATGCAATTTCTTATCAAAATTTGGCAATGGGTTTTGACAAGACAGCTGTCTTCAACAATTTGAGTTTCAAAAAAGCTGGGAAGAGAAGGAATTGCCTTGGGGTATGGTGTGGTAAATCCAGACTTTAGTATAAAGAAAAAAGGATTAAAGGATCATCTCTAGATGTGCATCCTGGGATATTAGTCTAACCCCCACCACACACACCGTGGCATTTCATCCTCTCCTTAGGGATTGCTAGAGAACCTGCTACAGGTTCAGCTCACATACTGCTCTCGCCTGTTAATACGCGCTCCGTTTTTTCATACCGTCATAGTGCTCATCTCTACTAATCTACTCTTTGGTGATCTCAGATTTATTTATTCTTCAGAATGCCTAAAAATTACCTTTGATTGCATTTTTCTTTCTGTGATGCTTTTCAGGGGGAAATCTTGAAGCACTTAGCAAAAACATTAGAAAATTAGGTTTTTATGGAATCTCTCTTGAAATTTAAGGCAGATCTCAGAGCACTTTGGTACGCGCAAGCGAGTGGTACTTCTGGTAGTGCCTACCACCTCCTGCACTGTTTCCAGAAACAGAGCCATTATTGTAACATCCCTGTACTTTTCAACCTGGTATCTGCTGAATTTCTTCTGTCTTAGAAACTATCCTGTTCAGTGCTAGCTTGAAAACACCACAAAGGTCTGTCAGTCAGAGGTCACAAAATGAGGCTGTGGGACAGCCAGGAATGGACTTCAGCCATGCTAATGGTGGGTTGTTTGTTCCAGTGCTGTGGGCAGTGGCTCTCAAACCAGGGCCTCACTGCACGTATGGGCACAGCAGATTGTCAGCATAATAAAAATCTCATTACCTCTGACATTCACCTTTGTATTGTGAGAAGCATAAGATTATTCTTCTGTAAGCTGGATAATAGAAAAAGTATGGGGCCAAGTGAGCTAGACAATGCTCTTTTCTCATCCCTTGCAGACCCAACTCATGAAGCAATTTTCCATTCATTTTATTCTAGAATGGAAAATGCCTTCTTTTTAACCTTCTCTGAGTGAAAATTGTAACAAACCCCAAGCAATTTGTCTGTTTGTTTAAAACAAACAAACCAATCTGCTAGCCCAAATGAGATAGGCAACAGCAAAAAACCTGAATTTTCTGGTAGTGGTCAAAACTGAAAATCCCTTAATATGCTGATGTTCAGTACAAGTTCGTTTAGCACTGTGTTCAGAGCCAAAATACACTATTTTTCCCTCTACCTGACTACCACTGATGTAAATTATTTCTGTAGCAGGAAGTTTCTTTTGAGCATGGAGATGTGTTTAGTGCCTTGAGTAGCAGCTTACTCATCTGCACATCCAGCAGAGCAGAATTCATATTCACCCCTATTCACATCCACTTTGCATTCGTTTATGGAAATATAAATGATTACTCAGGTAATCTGTTTCTCCTTTCTATGTAAACCATGCTATGCAGGTTTGTGGAGACCTTAAAAAAGTCAGGCTGTGGACAGTTAGCTGTCTTAAATGGATATTGAAGAATCAGGTCCTAATTTTCCTACTATTTTGTTGCTTGATTTCATTTCTTTTTATTGATCCTTCTTAGGACAGGTGAATTTCCAAAGAAATAGAGTTTGGGTAAAATCTGGACCAAAAAATAGATGCTTATCAGAATTATACCTCAGCAGTATGTAAAAGAGAGTGGACAGGCAATGAGAGCATTTTTTTTCTATGGAGATTTGTCATTTCAGTATTGCCTGACACAGAAAAAGAGTGAGTGGTGGGTTGTTTGTTGTTTTTTGTTTGTTTGTTTGTTCATTTTGTCTGCCCATTGACATTTTCAGTGTGTTTGAATATAGTGGTGATCTCTTTCCAGCCCTGTCCTGACAAATGCACAAAAGAAACTCAAGAAAGGTTTGATTTTAGTTCTGTAAATGGGAGTATCCTGGGGTCTCTCCTCTGCTTTTTTATGAAGAATTTATTATTATAGCTTGAGGGGAAAGAATCTAATTTCATCAAAGTCAGTTGAGCATTGCAATTATTCTGGTAATGCTTAGCTATTTTGAATAGTTAATTGTTTCAAAGTGCTTAATCTAGTTGTTCTTATCTACCAGAAGTTTTCATTACAGTTTTCCACGCTATTTTGCATGAAGATTATTCCTACACATTTGGAGTTTGAGCCTTAAAAGCTCCATAGATAGATGAACTTTGCTAAGGCAGGATCACACAAGGTAGTGAAATTCTGAAATCTGACATCTAATGTTGCTAGCTTATCAAATTATTTGCCGTGGAAATTTTGAATCTGCAAACCCCAAAGACTATATGTGACCACTGTATTTTCTTCTGATAAGAAGCTATAGGGTGACAAACCTAAAAGCTGACAAGCTCTTCTGCATGATAGGTTAGAAGCAATTTAGCCAGATTATTCTTCCATAAATACTTTATATGTGGTCATTCAAAAGACTCTTCAGATTCTTCCCAAAATCATCGGTATAATGACCACAAAGGACTAAATTCATTCACTGAATGGGTACCTGGAAATTGTTGTCTACTTTTCTCTCTTCACATAAAACATGTTCCATCTCAACACATTTGTTCTTAGATCCTTCTTGCTATTTGAATGGTTTGTTACTGCAATAAACAGGTAGTGCTTTGATTTCTGACTGGTTGAAATTGCTTTTATTGCACACAATATGTTTTATAATAGTTGTAGCTATATATTTTAATGAATACAGCAGGAGTTTGTGAAACTTTGTTGCGCATTGATGTTAAATTTAAATTTGGAATAAATGTGAATTGTGTAATTTGTTTCAATTATGGATTGATATTCATCGTCTGCCAACTTAAGTGGAACAGAAGAAATATGGTAGTTTTATACTGTTAGAGAAGATTAAGCTATGATTTTCTGTTAATCAAGTTCGTTGCTATCTGCAATTAATAAAAATCTTTGCTTTAAGCAGGCTACAAAGCAGAAAACATACTGCAGCTACCATAGAAAATATGGTGATTAGTTGTACTTTTGTCTTGGCAAGATCCACAAATTTAAGGACTTTTTCATATTAATAAACAGAATTAACAGCCTGCAAATGGAACAGAGAAAAATTGAATGTTTCCTTTTCACTTACCTTTGCCAGTTGTTCATGAATTTCTAATAAGCTTGGTCTGTTGAGCTTACTCCCACTGACGCTGCCAGTATTTCGATAATAATCAATTTTAGGAACTGGATCCATGGTGTTATGGCCAAAAGTTTGTAGATAATACATTTTATTGTGAGTATCACAGGGATGTAAACTGGCTTCGGTTTTCTCCCCATTTTGAAGGAAATTGTCATATAATTCTCTTTTTCCCGGTCTGTAACTGATTCTCAGTCTGTTGTGTGCTTCCTCAGTAAAAGATGTTTCTTCATAATGTGGTGGGTCAGAGCCCACGTCCTCTTGGGATGCTTCGTTGCTGTCGTGGCTTTCATTAATTATGTTAACTTGAAACCGATTGGCATTTGGATCCAAGAATACATTTGGAGAATTATTCATTGACATCTTCAGGAATGAGACTGACTTAGGTCACTGAGTCTTCTGATCTTCTGTGACTGCAGGTACCACTCTTCTAGCTGCAACAAAGGGCTAGGGCTGTTACATATGAAGTCGTTGTTCTTAAAGTAATAAGCTTCCTAAGCAATCTTCCTAAATTTGTCCTCTGTGGTTCTGCCATTACAAACATTTATAAGTAAAACATTTCTGTTAACTTGCACAGTAAGGTAAATTTTCCACCTGAAGCTCCCTCTTCTATGAGACTGTCATCCTGTGAGGTGTCAAATAATCAGTAGTTCCATCAAAGACTAAATTGGTGGGTATTTTTCTGCCTTAATAAAATGGGCTATTGATCAGATTGTAAGTGCTTAAAATTGTATTTCAGATACAGTACTTTTCTTAATCATGCAAATTTTGAACCGAAGCCAGTGGAAGTGTAGGCAGTACGAGAATTACATGCAGTTCATCTACTGTTTATGTTCCACTTATGTATGACATCATAATTCTCTCATAGTCTATAAGTACATTGGCCTAAAAAGCTTGAATCAAACACACTTTCTGGAATTAGTTACAAAAGTTAGACTTCAAGATTAGACTCTCAACCATTCCAGGATGGCAACAGTTTATAAGCAGACAATTAATACATTGCAATTCATTTATTTTTTATGTAAATAAAATTAATGACATATGAAAGAATAGATCAACAGCTGAACCATATCCAGCACTGGGTTTGCCAAACTAAATAGACGAAATATAAATCTATGGTGAAATATTAATTATTGAGAAATATTAACTGTAGGCTTAGCATTGAAAGGTTCATAGAACTTTACTGTTTTACTTGTTTACTTGTGCACTCAAGACACCCTTTAAGAAAGTTTGGTAGAAAGTGTAGCAAGTCATAGAATCCCACAGATTAGGAATTTAGGAGTTTTATTTAGTCCAGTATCCTGCTCAAAGCAGATTGAGCACTGAATATAAATCAGGTCTCTTAGTTCTGTCATCCGACAAGTCTCTCAATCCTGTCCTGCAAGGATAAATTCCAGAACTGATGATGGCAGGTATTCTAATACTCACTTGTCCTGTCATGATTTTTTCATGTGTACCCAGTTAGAACCTTCTGTGCATTACTTCATGACCATCATCTCTCACCCTCCTTCTGTGTACTTCAGGAAGAGCCTGAGTGTGCCTTGTCGGTAACCTTCCGATAGGTACTGGGGGCTGCATAGCTTCTCTTAATACGTTTTCTTCTGGCTAAACAAGCCCAGTTTCTTTATGTTCCTGTCCCTGACTATGCTAGAAGCTCCCCAGGTGATGCATGCAGGTTTTCTAGGTTCTCTCTTACATGGGGAGTTGCAGGGGACAGGTAGACAAACTTAGAAGCTGGCTTTCAGGTGAAGTTTGATGAGTGTGTGAAAGAGGGGAATGATCACTTTGCTTGGTCTACCAACTATGGTTCTGTTAAAACAGCCCAGGACACTGCTTTCATTGCTCCCAGGGCACGATGCTGACTCTGTACGGGCTCACCAGCTCACTGCCTGCAGTGCTGCTACCTGCCAGTGAGGCCCCTTCCCCTACAGTGCAGGAGATTTTCTGTCCCAGATGCAAGACTTGCATTTGTCCTTGTTGAATGTCAGGAGATTCCTGCTGGCTTATTTGCCTAGCCTGTCTAGGTCCCTCTGAATGGCAGCCTGTAAGATATAATACCTGCACTATCTGCTTCCCATCTCCGCTTTTCCACACAGATCCCTCAAAAACAAGCAAATAAACAAAAACCCCAAGAACAAAAGGGGTACTAATATTTAAAGCCTTTAGTGGGTTAACTATCACTGCAGCAACTTGTGGGATGGCCTACATGGCCCTGGAGTGGCTTGCATCACCTGTTGTTTTTGAGAAACTGAGATTATATAGAAAGCAATGGCAATACATATGTTTTTTAATTTTTTTCGAAGGAGATACAGGAGTGTGATTGTATTGGCTTGTATAATTCAATAGGAGTCTGGGTCTAACAGTTTTAGTCTGTTCCGACTAAAACTGACTAAAAGCCTATTTAGATATTGAAAGTTTGCAAGTTTTTGTAATAGCAAAAAAGCTCTAAAACAAAATATATCTATAAAAAACAATATGTGACCTGAAAATCTGGATAAACAAGCCCATTAGAATAATTCTTTTAGAATTTTGTACTTTCAGCAGAGGTTGGACTAGGCACCCTCAAGATATTGCTTTCAATTTAAAATTTTCTATGATTTTGTGAAATGCATGTGGCTCTGGCACTGCAAGATAAAACACTGTGTTGATATTTAGACCTTGGCAACGCGTATTTTTGTCTAAAATCGTATATCAAAACTATAATTTGAAGAGCTGATAATCAGATGTCCTCCAACTTCAGTGTGAGGTACAGCTAAGGCGTATTTCCTCCCTTCTTCCATCAGCTATAAATGATAATCTGCTGCAACCTCCCTGAAATGAAAGCACTTTACAACCTCTCATATTTCTGTTGGTTTTCCTGCTTAACATTTTGTAAGCTTCACAGCAACACATTACATTTATTTAATTCCTTTCACTTCTTCTGGTTTTGGATGATCTGCATTATTATTATTACCATTATTACACATTTCTCATCATAGCATTCTGCTTCCTTCATCCTTTTAAAATTGTAAGAAATTGTTTCATTTTCAGGCATGAAAGAATGAAAACAAATCTTTTGTCACTAAGGTCAGTGAAATTAAGTTTGTTTCTGTCCCCCTGACTGAGTGAAATCACGATTCTTTGATGGCAGTGAGACTTTTGCTACCAACTAAAATAATTCTGTAATATCGCTGTCTTATTTCTATAATGTTATTGTTCAGCTAGGAAAATAAAACTTCTTACCTTTCTGCTGTTCTTGAAAATAATAATTGATATTTTTCACAATGTATTTCCAGGAGTCTCTCAACTGTTACTTGCCATTAATTTTGTATTTAATATTCTATCATTATTCAAAAATTATCAAATTTACCTTATTCAGGATAATTTAACTTGCCACTCAATCTTATGTTTTTGGGAAATGACAAGCTGCCTCTTTTATTCATGCATATAGCATGTCCCTCACTTTTAAGTATTCCAGACTGTGCCTTATTGGTCAGATTTTTCTTCTGCTTAATATATTGAATAAACTGTCCAATCCCTTACTTTCAAAACATTTCTAGATGGTGATTTAGAGAAGCATTCTAGCTTGTTAACTATTAACCAGCAAATGTACCTATCCATTACAATTACTGGCTTTATGGTGTTGCAAAATTTCCAAGGGGGCCCAAAAATACTTCTGTTATCTCCATTTCCCTCCCAGCTATGTCCGATGCTGTGCACAGATCATAATCTTATTTTTCAGTCGTGCATATGTTGTAGTGCAGATAACAAGAATTTATAAAATGCTCAGAGTGCATTTATGCAGAAGAGGTTCCAGTGAAGTCAGTGGGATCACTCCTGTGCTCCTTAAGAGCCTTTGGTGGGTTTCATTGTCCCACATGTGGTTTTGAGCTAATTACTCCTAAATCTATTCAAAGTTTTACTCTGTATACTTAAGGAAAGCCTTTGAAAAGTTAGGTTTTGTGCATTTCTTCTGGGAAGGTTGACTGTGATGTTTTTCAGGGATACAGGGAAGGCAAGAAAGAATTTGCAAAGGGAATTTGGTAATTGCTTTCAGCAACAGACTAGGGTCAAAAACAGAAGAAGTCAGTAAGTAGTGGGGTTCTTCGGGTATGTTTGCTGTACTTGCCATGTTGTTTAGAGATAACTGAACTATATTTATCCCAGATAACTTAAGTACCTTCAGCATGCTAACCTGACAGCACAGGGCTCAGCTTTGCTGATTAGGTGTACATAAAAAGAATGACAGTGTTGGGTCTCTGCAGTGGATGATTCTATCTAGCAAGAACAGATCATGTGAAACAGTGTATCAGTATCTGCCTTTGGTTTTGTGGTTAAATTAACTAGGATAAATGCAATATACTGAATCTCTGAGAGTCTGGCACTTTTTTCTTTGGCAGACTCTGAAGCAGTTTTAAAGCTCTTACGTTCATACAGTTATTTATAATTTAGATAAGCCAGTGCAGATGAGTGTTGTCTGTACCTATCATTCTTCAGACAGAAGACTGTGTCCTTCCCTGTGCAATCTGATATTTCATGTTCCAAATGGCATTTGAGGTTCACTGTTTCACTGGCTGCCTCTGCCTAGTATACACAGCAAAAGGAACAACATATATTTTGCATGTGTATTACATGCAAAAGAAACCAATCTCTGTAACTGGTGTCTGTCTTTACTGCTTGTTGCAAACAGAGCTGTTTAGCAAAAGTGGCAGTGCTTAGAATTTTGTTGACAACTTTCTTAAAAGTGAAATTGAATTTCTGTCAAGTACTATCATACTTGGTAAACAGCTGTGTATTTGAGGGTGACCTTGTGGTTTTAGTCTCCACTTTCACCAGTTCTTCTGTCTTGATAAGATTTCCTGTGACCAGTTTTCCCATTTGACACTCAAGATCATACACTGCACAGATGTAGGAACACAATGAGAAGAAACAGCTGAGGATAGGAGCTGGAGGGTACAAAGATTTCCACGTAGCTCTTGGACCCTGGGCACAAGTGAGTATGTGCAGTGTGTGTGTCTCTGTTGGCCTTGACAAGTTGATCTAATTACTACTGGGAGCTGTTAACCAGACAGAATAGATTGCAGCTAATAGTACAACAGGTGAAGTTCCAGTTTAAACTGACTCATCTTCTGTACCCAAGGAGAGTAAAAATTGACATGCCTTGGCCGGCCAGTTCAGTAGGATTATCAGGTTAGTTGCATAATGTTTACTTGGTCTCTTTCACCTGAAGGTTTTAACTCCCTGACACTGGGAGAGTGGAACTGTGGTGTTCTTAATTCCTACTGGACTTTTGAGTAGGTAATGTACTTTGAAATACTGCATGTGTAGAATACAAAATATCCTTAATGATGATTGTTTCCTTTCCACTAATTCCGTTTGTCTTTCCACTGCTGTAGAATAGAAGGAAGACCTGTTCCATCAAGATGTGCTATCAGGTGAGTGGGAGGAAATAGAAGTATGCATTGTTTGCAGAAGACCACTTAAATGTTTCACTCGGGTGTTGCAAAGTACGGGTTCCTTACAAACAGTAATTAGAACAGCACATTCTCTTCTTGTGAGGCAAGAATGGAGTTAGCAGTTGATGTTCCTCTCATCTCAGCAACATAGACACATACAAATGGGCTGCTTTCTGCAGACACCTCTTTGAGCCACAACTATTTGTTGTCCTCTTCTGCATTCTCATTGTACAATAATTTTATCAGAAAATTATGTAATAGGAGAAGGAGGGAATAATCACTTATGTATTCACTATCCATGAACCTGCCTTTCATCCATTGCCTTTTTATCCAGCTTATCAGAAGACACAGTAGAAATGAGACACTCTTCTGAAAAGCCAGATAACATTTAATTCTTAAAATATTTTTTTACTGTGTTGACTTTCTAGGGAATTGTTCAATGCAGTACTTCTCTGCTGCTAACCATTTAATATCCTCCATTCCACTCTTCCTCAAAGAAGGGCAATGTGAAGTGCCTTCTGAGTTTGCAACAAACATTTATTTAACAAAATGAATGCCACAGATACCAACACATCTCCAAAATGTATGTATGCATGTGTAACAAATGTACCAACAGTTGGTTTCCAAAATGAAATCAACATCAAATTTAAGGCAGGATATCATGTGACTTTTCATGCAAGAGCATATTCAAAGGTCCCTTTATCCAACCCCTCAACTTCATCTTCCCATGTTGAAGAAGGCATACTACTGTAGGGGTCTAGCAAGATTTTGAAGCATCTGATAATTAGAAGTCCTAAGAAAACACACAAAATCCCCACAAAGGCGAAACCAGTTTTTTGCTCCAAAGTCAGAGGGAAGGCAGACATTTCACTGACGCTCATGCTGGCTGAAGTGTTGCTGCAGTAATTACTGCTCATCATTGGACATCACATCTTGGTGACTCTGTGGGATTTTCACCTCTATTGCTTCTTTGCCTGCATAGAAAAGTGAAATCAATTACTAAATGGGGTGTGTATGCCTGAGCTCTGTAGCATATGAACAGTTTGAAATCAAAAACAGCTTGGATTTTTGTAGTGTCCTGTTGTTTTAGTTTTGGTTTGTTTTTGTTTTTGTTTTTTTTTCACATTTAAGTTAATGTGATAAAATTGAAACTTTTAGCTTCTATGTACCAGCCACTTACTAACAGCAGACTCACAATTTTCTGGCGTTCCATCTCCTCAACGCAGTAATCTCACACATGGCTGTTGCAAACAGCATTTTGTCAGACTGGGTGTAAGCCTGCAGATTTTAATAAGACAAAACTCACAAGGTATCCACCTGGATAAACTAATACATCTTCTGGAATGGCTTTACCTCAGTCCTTAAACTACTCCTTAAACTCATATTGATCTCAAAGGGAATTTCAGCCAAGTAATATGAATTTTGGTCATGTAATTTAGCTTAGAAATCTAAATAAAAAGATATGACTTGCAGAATAAAATGGTGTGTGCAGTTCTAGTCTTGGGCTCCATTTTGAGCTGTGCAAGAATTGGAAGTGAATATATTGGTAGAACTGTTCCTTTACCTTCCTCTACACGCGTCCATGCAGTGAGTGTGACTCAGTATGTGATCCAAGCATGGCTAGGAGCATACACTGTTGAAACATATGTTTGAATTGACCATTTGAGCCACTGTAGTGATGTTGCAGCTGTGTGCCCACAGTATATATATGTCTTATATATGGGCATATGGTATGTATGTCTTCATGTAACAGAAAAAAAAAAAACCAAACAAATCACAGTATTCTCTTGTGTGTGAGGAAAGATTAGTGGAGGAAGAAATTATGCAAATTCCCTCCCCCAAGTCTTACTCTCATTTATTTTTTTTTCACCTCAGTCTCAACATTTTCAGAGACATTTCAAGATCAGCTCAGAATGTGCTGCTGAGCTCAGGGAACTGACCCACCCTGCCATCACCACTAGGAGAGTTGTGTATTTCCAGACATGAAAGACTTTTGTTTTTATAGTTTTAAGGTGATCTGATGTATATATTTAAGTTGAGGAGGGGGGAGGGGGGAAGTTGTTTTGTTTTATTTTAGGTTTTCTTGAAATCCCCTCTCTCTTACATTTCAGTAGGCAGCAGGAAGATTGGAAGGCTTGGGACATCATATCTACCAAAGGACAAAGGCATTTTTATTCTAAGGTTAGAGCTTGGGGTTTTTTTGGCTCTTGTTAACACCTATTTAACTAACATGCCTCAGGGGAAAACTCTTTTTGTTAACAATTCAACCACCTCTTTCCCCAGGGATTTCCAGGCATCCATTTATTTCTTGGCAGAGTAATTAGGCCACTCCAAGCTTTGTGCTGCCATGACTACACTGATACTGGTACCTGCCCTAGCCAGTTCAAAGAGAGCTCCAGTATCTCCACTCAGTGCTGCGCTATAGCCATATCTCGACTAAGTCTAGAATTAATAACAACAGAAGTAAAAATAAGATTTAGTATTCCTGAGAATATAGAAACAGGCAAAACGTTTATGTTGTCTTTGTCTCCTTTCTTACTTCAGAAATTAGTGGGATTTTTGTATGTCATCCTAAAGAATGAAAATTTTAAAATGGAGATGAAAAGGATGGGACACAATTCTTCTTCTCTTTATGCATTAACCCTCAACATAGTAGGTATTAAATAGTGTGATTTTCTATTACTTTCTGTATACATTTTGTAGAGCATACCAACCATCTATTTTATAGAGCTGTATGTGATCCTTCTTTTGAATGACATTCTGCCCTTTGGGTCAACACTGTTTTAATTCCTGTTAAGTTGGAGAAAAGATCTGGATATAGCCTACAAGAAAAGTAATGTCAACAGTAATCAATATTTACTTTCTGGAAATATAATACCACATGCTGCACAGGTTTTCATTGTTTATCCTTCCAGTTTTTCTGTAAGACTGACCTTGTGCAGAAAAAATATCACAAATTGGTGTCAGAAGTCAGTTGATTTGAACAAGAGCCAGTCAAGAAAAGTTATCCTTCCAGACATCCTAGGACACTGGATTATAAAAACTAAATGAAAGGCTTGTATGGGAAAATGAAACGTAGATGCTACCTGAGAAAGACAGAGCTCACACGTCCCCCCAAATCAAATAACCCAAAACAAATAAAACAACACCACAACCAAAAACAAATGAACCCTCCCCCCCAGAGCATTGCTATCTTGAAAGATACATAGGAAAAATCTAAGGGATGGCCATGGGGAGCCCTGCATTGGAGCTGAGTCTTGCGAAATGTCACAGTGATTTTGCAGGTTATGCACTTAAATTAGTTGGATTTGTTTGTTTATTAGGCATTATGGGACAAATCTCTGTAAGGTTTGACTGACACTGAAACATGGAGTAGTAAGAAATGGTTATCTTAGTCTTATTTGAGGAGAATTTGTCTGAAATGGCTGCATGAGAAAACAGTGGGTATTTTCCTCCTGGGGAAATGAGATCTGGGAAACTCCAATACACGGCTTTGTGTGCTTCTTTCCCTTGTCCTGAATTTCATAACTTGTAATTGAAGCTTTAAAGTTCATAGAACATTCTGCTCTAATTACATATCCCCAAAACTGTGGTACCAAATTGACCTTGAATGCACTTCCATTGTTTTCACACTTTAGTGATGCATACAGGTTAGATGTCCTCTCCCAGTTAGTCAGATATCCTTTCAGTTGCTGCAGAGTATGTGTCAAATCATGAGTCAGAAGACTGTGAATGCTAACTAACGTGGCCTGCATCCAAAAATTCTTGAAGATAACCTCTAGAGCAATGTGATGGGACAGGCATTAAATCAGTTAGAATCTGCAGAGTCATTTTGTAGGGACTGGCTTCAGACTGATGTCTCCTGACTTTTTTATAGGTGAAGACTACTCATCCTTTGATTTACTGCCCATATAAAAACACTGGCATAAAGACAGGCTCCTTAACATCTTGCTGTGAGTAGAAAGGCCACTGGAAGAGGCCCTTGTGAGACTGGAACAGCGAGTCCAAGAGAAAATAGCAGTGAGGAAAATAGCTTGGCACAGAGGCCACTAAGGTAAGGGGAATGGAGGTGTGAGCTGGGGATGCTGGCTGTACCTGTGCGGGATGAACAGCAGTACCACGGCATTACACGTGGAGAGTTAGCTGGAAGAAAACTGTTGAAACTTTAACTAGTCTAGTGGATCTCCAGACCAACTCTGCCAGTGTTTGGATTCAGATTCCCATTCCCAGTCACCTTTTTCAGGCCCTCATGTTTTGAGAGATAGTGAGAAGATTAAATAATTCTGGACTATCCCGACGAAGGCAGGAATTTCCCTTATGTTTTGAGTTTCAGCCTTTCTCCCACAGAACCCACTTGGGGTTCTGTTTTGGTTGGTGGTTTTTTGTTTTGTCGTGGCTCAGTAGTGTAAAGAAGTACCTTTGACAGCTGCTCAAACTGGAAGCATTCATCCTCTTGGCAGGATTAAGCCTCAGGTCCTGAAAACTCAGTTCATAAACTAGAGCGTGTTACAGAATTCACTAAATCAGTTGCCATCTGTTCTCCCTTTGGATGTGCTGCAGGTCCAGCTGCTGGCGCTGGTCATTCTAAAGGCACTTCAAATAGTTTCAGCCCAAGGTTTATGTTTCTGAGTGACAGCAAACCTAACTTGAAAAGGTGTTTGTGTGCTTAGGGACAGAAACCGACATCTGGGAGTTTCAGAAGCGCCATATTTGCACTCAATTATTTGGTCAAAGAAACTGAATTTCGGGAGTGCTGTTACAGGAATTGGACATAGGAGGTGGTAGGGTAAGAAGATTATCAACAAAGAAGACCAAATGAAATAGAGATCAGCATAAATTTGGAATTTTCCAAGGGGTCTAAACTGAGTTAACAACACATGGCCAGAAATGCTGCAGAAGCAGCTCTGAGCACGCAGCCAACCTGCTATGTTCATGCACACGCTGCATGCCTGTGTTCCATACATTGCTGGGGAGAAAACTGCCTGCTCAGGGTAAGGTTTCTAAGGTAGCAGACAGGTAAGTGTAAGGTGGGAAGGCCAGGGCACCGATGCTTAGCAAATGGAGCACATTTAACTGTTGTGTGAGTGTAGCAAAGCATCCCCTGACATGCAGTGTTTTTGCAGCACGTAATTCAAGGTAGAAATGACACTTTTCCACATAAACTGCATTCCCCTGCAGAGAAGCAGCAGCTGGGCAGTGACATTTGCAGCCTCCAGGCAAGCAATGAATTGCAGAAATGAGATTTTATCCGTAGTAGATAGACAAGCCTGGAGTCTCCAAGGAACAAGAGACCCTGCGCTATGCATTGTGCTGTGAATGCATGTATATGCGGTCAAGGTCCGGATAACGGAGGCAAGAAAATAAAACGTTCACTGCTGCCACCCTTAAGTTGCGAATCTGGAAAACCGCTACCTGTTTCTCTGGGGCATGCAGGCTACGAGAACCGCAGGACACCGAACACCCGCCGAGCAATCGTTGCCCCGCTGCTGCATGCGCAGCCCCTACTTTCTCCGGCTCCGCGTCCTCCCAGGGGCGCCGCCCGCAGCCCGAGGCTCTCGGCCGCCGGCACAGCCCCGCCGGCACAGCCCGCCGCCCCGCCCGGCCCCGCCGAACCGCCCGCGCTACCGACCCGTCTCCTCCGCGTTGCCCATGGTGGCGGACGGCGGAGCTCCGGGCCCGGCCGGCCGAAGCCCAGGCGGGAGCCCCGACGGCTGGCACGGCTCCGGCCGCTGGGGCTGCGCGGGGTCCCGGGCGGCGGGGGGCGGCTCGGCCGCGTTTCCCCTGGCCGCCCGGCGCCGCGATCCCGCCGGGAGCCGCTCGAGCCGCCCTCGTTAAAAAATTAAACGCGGCCGCCGCCGCCGCCTCCTCCTGGCCGCCCGCCCCCTTCCATCGCCGTTCGGCCCGTTGGCGCTCCCCTCCAACCCCCCTCGCGCGGATTAAACCGGGGAGCGTGGAAACTTCCTGCAAAACACTACGTGCGGCGCATCGGTAAGCGGCGCCTTGCGGGGGCGGCCCTCCCCGCGCTCGGGCTGCGGTGCCGCAGCAGCCGGGAGCCCCGCGACCTGTGGAGCCCGGGCGGGCGGCGAGCAGCGCTGCCGAGTCGCGGTGCGCGGGGGCCGAACGCCTCTTCCATCCGCCGCGACCGCGTCCTGCGGCGAGGGCTCGGTCCCTCCCTGCAGCTTCGGCGGTAATAACGATTAAAGTGTGGAACATGTGGCGGCATACGGCTGGGGCCGCAGCCTGGCTCTCGCTTTATAGCCTTTCATTAGCTGCGTTTAGCTGATGCTGATTGTATATTAAAGAGGCTTCGGTTTGCAACAGCAGCAGGTGTTTAAGGTGGATAAGGAAAGAGGATTTCTTTTCCCAAAGCTGGATCTGCGTATTGCACTAATAAACAGCAAATCTGTTTTTAAATGATAGTGATGCGGTATTTGGATGCCCTGGAAGGGTGCACGTGGGCCGGTGAGACGGCGCTGCATTTAGCGCCAGGCACAAAGAGATTTGTTGAAGGCTGCTCTAGAGCTGTTGGAAGAATTTGTTCTGCAGAAAATAATTTGAAAACCCCACGTGTTTCTTACTGCATGCAACAATTCTGCGAGAGGTTAAATCCCTTTTATCCTAATACACGCTGGGAAAAAAAAGTTTTGTGTTACCAGGCATTTTAATAGCTGATCCCTCTGTTGTGTCTGCAGTTCAGCACTGGGCAGTCTCAAAGCACCCTGTGTCCCTCATTGGTAGAACCAATGGTTAAACGGATGGTAAGCCGTGCGCTCAGTAAAGATTGCTAGTTTGATCATCTAATGTTGCAGTGTCAGTAATTTGGTGAACAATGACTGTTGCTGAAATTACAAGCCAAGCTAATTTTTGAAGTGCCTCTCATATTTAAAGACCCATGAAGAGCTTATAAATAGATCGTTTCAAATGGTATGACTGTGCTTTCAGAATATGTATATAAGGAGCCTCTTCTGTTCCTAATGAGCTCTAGATTTATTTTTTAGCCTTGTCCCTGATTAACTTGGGGCCCATGATGATCTCTTGCTAAAGAGGAATGGCTATGATTTGGGATGTGGGGATTGGCAAAGACACAAGGCCCCATTCCACCCCATCCCAACCTATTAGAACTGGTTTGGGAGAGTGGCAGGTATCCATTTTTTCCTGATAATCATTGAGCATTGCTATATTTGGAGAACTTTCCTCTAAGTAGGTCTTTTCTCATGGAAAAGATTTAGTTGTAGTATCTTCCTGCCCATAAATGTATTATATTTTTTCTGTCATTATTCTTATAGGGGTGAATTTAAGAGACTTGTGTTTGGTTTTTTGTTTTTGTTTTTTAGACTGCGAAGTCACTGTTTCTCTTGTACTATTACACAGGAGAAGTTGTTGAAATCGTGTGATCATTTTCAGGAATCTGATACTCACTGTTCAATTTGAAAGTTGTGTTTGTGCTGGAGATCCACTTTTCGTGGATATGAAAGTGAGAACAGAAGCTGGCAGCCACAGACAGAGAATGGGATTCCTTCTTCAGCCACCAGTTGTCATCAGACAGCTAACACTTTTGTTGTTGCTGTTGTTGTTCATTTGGTTTTTTGTTCAGGCTGATACATTTTAAAATAGAAAAACAATGGAATAACTTAATTTATTCCTGTATTTCATCGTTTCTTTCACTTAAGGATCACTAATTTTTTCTCATTAGGATCCAGACAAAAGGCAAATGAGATAGCAGTGTATGTGCCCATGGAGCATTCCGAGACAAATGGAGCATTCGCTACTTTTCACTTTCTGCTTCTTTATCACGCCCATCCTTGTGTTCAGTAGAATAACAACTGTTATCAATGACTTCAGTCATATTTCAGATTGATTTGATCCTTATGTTAGGGAGTGTCAAGTGTGTTTTCAATGGAGAGTCCTCAAACAGAAAGAGAGATGTTATCATCGGTGATTTGGTACATTGCCCCCACAAATTGAACTGATTAATTTTAGGCTGGCCGCATAAAGCCGAGTGAGTGCCAAGGAGGAAAAGGCAACAGGGAGCTCTTAGAGCTATTATCTGTTACCAGTTTTTAGTGTTTAAGGATCATTTGAGTGGTGCGTCAATGAAATGTAACTATTTTGAAGGATAACTAACTCTATTGTAGCACCTTTTCCCTGTAGCTTCAAAGTGCTTTCTGAGTGTTCCTTCACAAACAAACAAATCCTCCCTTTAGTGGTTAGAAATTCAAAACGGGCTCACGGGAGGGAGTAGAGTCACTGAAGAGCATTGTGCAGAAGAGTATCCTTAAAAACACATCAATTCGCAACTCCCCTCATAGGCAAATTTAAGCAAGTGTAAACAAGCTCATGAGAACATTTATCAGCTGAAGACAATAATATATGAGGGAGATAAAAGTAGTAATAGAGTTGGGGAAGGGCATTGAAAAATGGTTATATATAAATGCACGCATTGAACAGAATTGCAGGTGGAAAATATTTTATGTAATCTATTCCAGGGTTCTTAATGTTTTAAAAAGGATAAACACCTTTGTTCTACCATGGTGGCTTTTTCGTTTGTTTCCTTGTTTGTTTCATCCAAAAGCCGTGCGTCTACCAGATACCGACTGCATCTGCTGTTTACATGTTCAGTCTGCAGTCCTGGGGATATGTAGGGTACTGCCAAGAATGAGGCAGAAAAACAATTCTACACACCATTCTCCCTATGTAAAAGATCTGAATGGGCTCACAGCTCCAATAGGAAGGGATAAGGATTTGGAAACCGAGGCAGGTTGAGTGTTAGTGTTGGGGAAGGGGAATGGTGTGTGCATACAGTGAGCGGCAACAGTGCCACCTGGTGTGAATGGACCAGGAGGGGGGCTGGGTCCCTCGCTGGGTCCTTCCTCCGCTGAGCTCAGGGCAGGCCCCTGGCCAACAAGGAGAGGGCAGAGGCCTTAGGTGAGGTGGGTTCCCTTTAAACGTGCAGGAGTGAGCTGATGGGTATGTTAGGGGCACTCAGCCCCTCATTGGAGACTACGTGTTGTGGAAGGAAGGACCAACGTGCAGTTTTGTTTTCTGTAGTAATTTCAGTAGCTAAAGTAATGATCTGGGCAGAGTAGAGATGATGTGAATTGTTTCAATATAAGACCAGTAAAATTGCTACCATCGTCTGATGCTGTTACGCAGCCTTCTACAAAAATAAGTGATTAAATTCAGGCTCCCAAGCTGTGGTTAAGGGTTCCATATCACTGGGAAAAAATGATGATGACAAGGGAGATTTAAACCCCTGTTAGGGGAAAAAGTGGTTATATCCTTGCAGATCAAGCAGGGCAGGTCTCCCGTGTCACTGATCCCAAGTTCCGGGCATAGGATGCTGTGCAGTTTTTCTAGTTATGAGTATACAACACACTGAACTAAAGCCTCAGCATGCAGTTTCATTCCTGTATCAGGCATCTGTACGCTCTTTTATCTGGGGGAGCTCAGTCAGTAAGTGCTGTTGATTTATTCTGGTCGGGGGAGGAAGAAAGTCAGAAAAGGCAAACTTCTCTGCAAGGAGAGAGAGAGGGAGCGGTTGGCACCGCAGCTGCAGGTGTGAAGGTCTGTGCAGTAGGTGGGCTCTAGCTGTGCAATAACTGGGCTCTGCTCTGCATCTCTAGAAAATGCCTGCAGGCACACAAGCTGTTGCATTTGATAGTTTGCCCTTTTGAAGTGTAAAATATTTTCTTTTCCGGAGTTAAAAACCATCACATTTCCCAGACTAGGAAGATAGTATTTAATTGCAAAAGTGAGCACTTAGGGAAGATATTTGTTTTACTTCAGATCCGTAGTAAACACCTCTGTAAAAGAGGGTTTCATTTACAGAGTAGTTATTTCTTTTTTAAGCACAGAGTAAAGCAGTGTATGTTGGGTGCAGCCTTAGGCAAGGCAAACTGGTTTGGAAATACTTGTGGCTTTGCAGAAAGGAATCTTTAAATGAACTGCAAACGACAACTGTTTTAGGAAGCGTATTTGTTGTTAAAAGCAATTCTCAGGGTTTTCTAGAGGAGGGACAGCATTTAGAAAATGCTAAGCGTGTTTTGGTGCCATAGCAAACAGCACAAGAAAAAATATGTGCAATATGTATTTTCACCATACATGCATCATCTAGGTGGGAACAACAACTGAAAATAATCTTCCACAGAAAACACCCTCAAGATGTAAATATGTGAATCTGGGGAGTCCCGTTCTCTCACATCACGTACAAACTGACTTTCAGGAAGACAGAACTCTTTTTTTGCAGTTGCCACCTGAGGAAGGTGTCGCTGGACTGCTTTTGATCGTGGCTTAAATTCCAACAAAATTAAAACCAACACCGAGGTCCCACTGGGATTCCAACGCCCTCGGCACGGAATGGCTTCCTTTCACCCTTTAGAACCGAGGGCTGTAAAACGTAATGACAGCAATTTAAAGTAAAAATTAACCATTTCAGTCATTGCGACTGTCACAAATGCCACGTTATTTTTTCTGATCGATGTGTGAACACAGAGCGTCGCGCCTCTCATCTGAACTCTTTAAGGCGAACTTTTTAACCTTCACTGGGTTATGAGGGAGGGGGTTTCACAGCGTTTGAAAATCTCAGGTGTTACCAACACCTGGTGTGAGGACTGAGGGACAGAAAAGAGTCCTGGAAGCTCAGAAAGAATTTACTTCCAACATTACTTCCACGTTTGCCCAGGTACGACAGAGAAATGGGACCGCAGAAGC